GGGACCAGCTGCTCCTCCTGCATGCTCGGGAGCTCCTTCTGGGCCCTCTGCTGCTCCTACAGGTTCTGGAGCTCCTTCTGGGCCCTCTGCTGCTCCTACAGGTTCTGGAGCTCCTTCTGGGCCTTCTGCTGCTCCTGCAAGCTCTGGACCTCCTTCTGGGCACACTGCCCCTCCCAAGACCTCTGGAGCTGCAACCTGGTCCCGTGGTTCATCTGCACACTCAGGAGTCACTGAAGCTTTTGGATCTTCCTCATGTTGTGAATTCAAAGTATTTTTCATTATCTTGGTGAGAGAAAAAGCACATAATCATTAGGGAGATGATTCCTTGCACTCCATTCCCATTTCATCCCCTCCCAAAGACATTCTGTGGATTGAAAAACATGTACAAGCACATAAACCTCTTAGGGATGGAGTGAATTAAGGTATTCAGGATGCCAATTGGGCACCTGAGCCCCAGGGCTGGGGCAGACACTCACTGTCAGCAGCAGAGGCTCAGAGTCGTCCACATAAACCTTCAGAAGCTCAAAGATGCTTCGCTGGAAGTCTGTGTAGGAGAAGTTCTTGACCTTTGGGTGGGAGAGGTTCTTGTCCCGGATGATATTGAGCCACTCACTCTTTTTCTAGGTGTGGGAATGCAGCAACCAGTAAGAACAGTCTGGACAGGCTCAGAACATCAGTGATAGCCACAGGGACCATGGCATGGACTGGGACTGCCCTGCTGGTCTTCTCCAGGCACAACCAATACACAGCAAGGCTGGGAAAAGGCCACAGGGACAGGAGGGGAACAACAGAGCCACCTTATCCCACCAATTCCTATTGCTGCCAGTGCCTGAAGCCACCCCACTGCCTGCAAAACAGGCACAAGGATTCCTGTGCTTCCACAGCCAGCTCTGACGGGGAGTTTGGGGTTCATCCAGGGCTAAGTGGTGATGCCTGGGACACTCAGGGAGGTGTGTGAGTGCAAAGGTGGTTCCAAGGACATGATTGACATGTGCAGCACAGAGTGCACCACTCCAGGGCTGTTTCCATCCTGGCCTCCTCACCACAATGCCTCCCTAGGACATGCCAGACCCCCAACTAAATTCCCCATCCAGCTCCCTCTCATCCCAGCATAGACTCACCTGGCTCTTGTGCTCCCTTCCCATGGACCTCTTGACAATTTTGTAAGCTTTTTCAAACTCTCTGTTTTTCACGCAGACAATAACAGCCTGTGGAGGAGCACAAAGGCAGCTGGGAGCAGGGCACAGGGCTCAGCTCAGTGCCAACTACCACCTCCCTGAGGACACACAGCTGCAGCCAGGTCCCTGCTCAGAAGGGAATCCCACACCTGGGGCAACTCCCATCATCAACACAAGGCCATTTTAGGGCAAAAGAGGCACAAAGTGTTTATTGGGAAAGCAAAAGCTCTTACAGCTTCCTTCATCATCCTGTGGATAGTCTCCATCATCTTCTCAGGCACAGAGAACTCCTTCTGGAAGAGGTGCAGGATGCTGAGGGCTGACTCCAGGGGGGTCAGCTCTGACTCCTTGTCGAAGGTGCAGTCTATGGAAAAGGGCAGCCGAGGGGGTGGGTGGTCACGGGGCTGCCCTGAGGAGAGCTGATTAGGCACTTGGGCAGGGAGCTCAGCACCTGCACCTGCCTAGGAGGGAAGCCATCCACCTGCCCAAGGAAGCTCTGCACCTGCCCAGTTTGCCTACACACCCCACAGCTACTGAGGCTGAAAATGAGGCACTGCCAAGTGTCTGAACTCCAATTTCCCCTCCCAGGTATAGAAAGTTCTGGAACGTGCACAGGACTAG